TGTTTCATTGGCATGATTATCAGAATGAAGTACCAAAGCTTGGTTACATGTGACAAGACACAGATCAAGCCAACTTGCAGCTCAGAGCTCCTTTGGTGAACGCAGCCCCGTGATATGTGAAGATAGCTTCGGCAACAAAGCACCGATACGGTACCCAAAGGCACGGGTGTACATCCTTGGCAAGACAGCACACATGCCACACAAGGCCAAGGATGTTGTTGACAAGCAACCAAGGTGTTCGTGCTTGCACATGTTGGTATTCAGTCTTTGAGGCCGTAGCTGGCTCTTCTTCAGCTTTTTCTGCACTCCAGTGTACCGAGTCTTTCCCGTGGAATCAACATAGCGTCGGACGAGGGATTGGGCTGTGTCTCGCATTTCCTCAGGGCTGATAGCACATGCCACATGCAGCAACGGCGTGTCATGCATCATGGCAACATACAGCTGCAGAACATGTGCATTGTTGCGAAAGCAAGCAGCCTTGGACACAGTATCAGAACCCAGCTCGCCGATCAATCTGCTGTTAGACCAGAGACATGACTTCTTCATACTCGGAGCACCGAAAGCCCTCATGTTGATTGTTTGTCGGTAAACCTGAGTATCTCAGAGGGCAGGCATCCAAATAAATATTCCCCATACAAAGTAGCTCTCAACTCGCAACCGGTATGTCTCAGCTCAGCTACCCATGCCACTTCTTGACAGAAATGCTCCCATTGTGGCAAGAAAGAAAACTTGGCACTTGCGGGCTGCTCAAGGATAAAGCACAGGTTCAAAGCCGTGGCCAGGTAGCACAGAAGAATGCACCTGCCCATACCCCATGAAGCGGCTGGCTTATGGAAGATACTAGCAAACTCTGCGTCGCTCAGGACGATTATATATGCTCCGACTCCGACGGAGAATGGCACCTGTGGGCCAATAAGTTGCCGGTCCGCACCCAAGGGAGCGAGGTGTCCCCTAAAGGACACACTATAGATCGCCCCGATTGAGAGGCACACATATCCGAAAAGGAAGAGCACACAGGAGCCAGCACCACGAGTCCTCCGGCTTGGAGACGAAGGGCTGCAACCAATGCTAACCTTCGATATTCTTGACTGCGAACTTGTTCATGTGGAGATCTATACATAGAATTATGTATACAATGCACAACACAACATTGTCAGTTGCTATCCGGGAGCGCCATGCCAGCTGGAGTCAAGAGGTCGTAATATGTCTGATCAGGTGCGTATTCGTAGTCCAGGGCAATCGTTTTGAACGACAGTTTCTTTAAACTCATGGTAAGATTTGCTTTGCCTGCAAAGAACTCTACAGCACGCCAATCCTCAGACAAGCAATCAAGCCGACAATTGACATGACATGCTATACAATCACAAGACTGTGAGCACACTGTAATTCAATCGGCAAGCACGGCTTAGGTGGATATCTTCGATGAAGTAGAGGAGCAAGCAGCAAACGACCACAGCCTTGTATTGCAAAGTACAGACCGATACAGTAACATCACAAGACATGCAGCCACAGCAATGCCAACACTTCTATATAGACAATCGGATAGATAGATAGCCGAATTGCCCGTGGAACCCCAGCTCTGTAGAGGTTGCATACAAGCACCCGCAGGTTCCATGCATTGCGTCGGCTGAACATGTTCGTAAGAGGGTCTGTGCAGATCTTGCATCTAGCAGTCTAGCAGAAGCCAATGATGCAAATAGCTTCAAACCTATGACGGAAGTTGGCACGGCGGAATTATGTTCGAAACCCCTGAACCGTGTCACTGCTGCAATCAAGCACAACAAAAAGGCTGCAGTCAAGAGTTGTTCCAGTCCAACTTGCAGTGCATGCACATGCCAATCTACCCAAGCCAAGGTAACAGGTAACTCCAGCTTCATGCACGAGGGCAACCATGCCAGCTTCACCGACACTTGGCTGCAGTCGTTTCCAGCCGCGGGGCATCGGCGCCGACACCTCGATCAGCAATGTGTTTGCATCAGCAGCAACACTCAACAACAAACAAGCTTGTGGCATGATGCTTGCTTGCAAGTTGATTGCAACATATGCCTGCACAATAGGCTGCAATTATTTTTTCTTCCAGCGGGCTGGGATAACGATGATGTCCCAATCTTCAGGACCACGGCACCACACAGTAGGCAACATCCGACATGTGTGATGTTTAAACAGGCAGCAATCACATCAAAAATGGAGCGGACAGCTCCTGCCACACGTATGTCTACGATTCCGTTTGCAATTGCTTTGCAATTCCGGCTGTAACTGCAAGCAGGCCCAGGAGGCAACCCCGAGGATCCATCGTCGCTGCTACTCAGACAAGATCAACATGTGGAAGGTTTTCCATAGCCCAACCTACCCCATGGTTTTTTTCTATACATCATATATATACCACCATACAGCACACTAGCCCACTCCGGAGAGTGGGAGACGGATCCAATCCTCCAGACCTGTTCCTAAGCAATCACGAACCTGGAAAAAGGCTCTTGGCTTCTCAGGTATCTACACCAAAGGAGGCGTGGCTTTCAGCTCGGCTCGGTACTTGCGTCGCAGGTTCATCAAGACGGAGTTTGCTTCGTAATTCACTTGTGCCCATTTTACATTCTTCCCATTCTTCTCGAAGAACTGCACCTTTCTTAGATCAGCAGCATTTCGAGAGTTTCAACGATAGTACATGAGTATAGACCATATCATGCAGATATTCAATCGAGCAACCATCTCATTGCAAAGCTCGATCAGCACCGTGAACGATGCCCACGTGTAGCAAAACATAGACTTCCCCGACTCTTTGCATCGCACACCACATTTCGGGGCGGCACAAGTCCAATACACTTCGACACGATAGGTAGGCCCGTGAGCGATAAGCCTGCATGATCATCAAATTTTGCAAGAAAAGCACAAGCAAGTCAAGCACACAAGCACATGCACACATGCTCCATCGAATATTTCCCAGTGACGACTTGAGGTGCTTCTTCTGCTCGGAGGTGACAAGGCACTCTCCTTTTTTCACTCGCTTCGGCTGCTGGGCCTGATCAGGCTTGTCAGTGTCCTGGGACTGATCGGAATCCTGTGGATCATGCTCCTTCTCCTCCTTCTCCTGAATGGGGGCGTCTGTCTCCTGATCCTTCTCTTGCTCCTCCTCTGGGTCGTGCTTCCTCTTGATGCTCCCATTGGCCGCAGCGGGTCGCTTCAGAGCGGCCTTTGCCTTTGCCTTACCCTTAGGCCACCCTTTCTTCTTTGGGGGGGCCTTATCCTGACCATCATCAGCATCCTCGTCCTTCTGCTCTTGCGGTGCTTCTGCGGGCTTGCCTGTTGCACTCTTGGCCTTTGGGTTTGCTTTGCTCTTCCCTGCAGCCTTCGCTTTGGCCTTACCCTTAGCCTTGGCCTTAGCCGAGGACTTCGCCGTTGGTTTCGGCTTGGGGTCAACTGCATCTGCCGATCCTTCGTCCTTCTTCTTCCTGCCTGATGCCTTTCTAAGGGAATTCTGAGCCGCGTGAGTTAGCAGAGGAATGTCGTCTCCACTGTCCTTCTCAGCCTCCTCCATTCCTTCAGGGTTCTGCTCAGGCGAATAGTGCTGGGTTTGCTGATTGTCTTCTTGCTCCTCTGCTCCCTTGATTTCCTCGGGATCATGTCCATGCTCCTCCCCTGCTCCCTTGATTTCCTCGGGATCATGTCCAAGCCCACCCTGCTCTTCATCCCCACATGTTGCTGCATGCTTGTCTGCTCCATTGTCTGCATGCTCATGATCAAGCAATCCATTGGCTCGCATGAATGCCTCAACACCTACACCGCGATGAAGTGGCTCGGGGCTCGCAGACTCCGTATCTGAGCCATCCTCAGACCGGACCTCCAGGCTCACGGATCGCCGATCCGACTCCACAACCTCCCCCCAGGACACAGGTGGCTGCAACCGATCTTTGGGAGGGGTGATGGGCAGCTCCTCCGGATTCCATTCTGCGGCGCGAGCACGCACGAGGGCAGGGGTCTCTGGGGGCACATCAATCGGAAGCTCCTGAATCGGAAGCTCCTGATCTTCTTTCAAATGGTCACCCAGTTGCTTGGTTGTGGCGTCCGACCTAAATTTTATGCAACACACCATGATGTCTCATGATAAAAGAGATATAAAGATAGCAATAATCCGATAAAAACAAACAATCAACCAGTGTCATGACATGAAGCAACTGGTCGTGTAAATACACAAGTGGCAGTTGTTGCAACCGTGTTTCTCATCACCACTGCTGGCATCAATTGCTGTGTCCTGCGCAACAACCAGATCCCATGAGCAACACACACAGGCAAGAAGATTTAATGCCAACCTCGCACTAATATCCTCACGACTCCCAGCAGACGATCGTAGCCGTGATGCCGCATCCTTAGCAACATGCAATCATAAGGTTCGCGCAACAGGTTATGATATGCCAATCGACCAGATAAACGAGAGGATGTCTGTTGCCTGAAGCAAAGCTAAGGACCCACAAATTCGTGAAGCAGAGGATCCTCCAGAACTTGACCTTCCACTACCTGGGTGTCCACATTATCCATGAGGCCGGGATTGGCATGGACTTGAACACGTGGCAGCTGCCTGCGATGACAGATAGCAGCTAAATATACACAGCTGTACAGACAAGCACAAGCAGCACAAGCAGCACAAGTTGCAACACGACGACGGGACTGGTGGGACTTGATACAAAGACGAGGGGCTTGGCGGTGTTCACCAACTTCGCCAGTTTCTGCTTCAGATACCCGTAAGCATCACTTCCAGCGCCTATTCAACAAACTGTAAGGGGTAGGACCAGCAGTAGTATAGAAACAGCAGCTCTCACAAGATACCATGTCCAGCAGCACAAATGCCTGGTGCTGGAGTTGCAAACACGATCTCCACATCATCGAAACTCTCATCGGTCCAAGTGATCTTCTTGGCAGAGGCTGGGCCATCTGCCACATTAGCATGTTTGCTTGCAACCAACAACAACTCTCATGTCAATTACATCCCTTTTTTCATACTCGAATCACCCACCTGAGGTCAAGTCTTGGGAATCCGGATCAAAGGATGCCACCGACGGAGCTGACAGAAGTTCAGCTCCAAACCTATCTTCACTGCCCATTGCAGATGCTGGTGGCTCCAGGTCTGAGTCGCTCTCCTCCTGGGGATTGTCAAAGATAGCCTCCACTCCCATCCATGGTGGGAGTGCCGGCCCTTCATACACAGCATCCCCCTCAGGCTCAGTGCCTGTAATATCGTCTCCAGCATCTTCGATAGGAGCAGCCTCTTCATCCTCTCCTTCCTGGCAATCCTCCTCCTCCTCTTCATCCCCCTCATGCTCAGCTTCCTCGGGAGCATCCTCTGGCCCCGCAGGCCTCCGATGATTTGGCCTATGAGCATGTCGGTACACCGCCAAAGCACCTTCATCCCCAAGACGACCACGATACAAATCCTTATGTATTCTCAAAGCACAAGCAAGCCAGTTGATTCTCAATAATCAAGTCATGCATGATTGATGCTTGTTGTATTGGGTTGCATGCATGATTGATGCTTGTTGTGTCAAGTTGCATGCATGATTGATGCTTGTTGTGTTAAGTTGTGGCTTGCATCAATGCCAAGTTGTTGCTGCGATGTTCAAACGTGATATGCAATACCAAGGACACTCAGGAACTGGACGTCGGGGTCGCGCTGCACATCCGAACGTTCCATGAGCCCTCAGGCAAATACAACTGTGACGACAACAATACTTCCAGTACTTTCTTGGGAACACTAATCCTATAGACGAGCGACTCTTATGAGCGATCAGAAAGCTTTTGATGGCATGAGCATCCTGATTGATTTGAGTCTCCAGGATCTCCACCTGTGCCAACACGGTGCAATGCAGACTTGCTTAATAGAAGACCATGGTAATGTGTAAAGTTTGGCCATGACAAAATAGATTGCAACTGTCTTCTATAGATTAAGCAAAGCCACACCGAACTTTCTGGCTACCACCGTCAGCACCGGGGCAATCACTGGAATGCGAGCGATTTGAGGATGGCTTGCGAAGTTGGGCACGAAGTGGCGGAGCAGAATCTTCAAAGGGTCTACATCAACATATTTGCAAGTCTGTACATAATGCAAAACAGCCTTATCATGCATTAATGTCCTTGTTGAGTTTCATAGCATCTGTGGAAGCCTTACGGAGCTTGCCCTTCTCGCTCAGCGGCCACATAACGAAGATCTTAATGTGAAGCGTTCGAGCTTTCAGCTCCTCGTCCACCGATGCTGCCTGCGAGTACTAACAACACCACACATATATGGACTGTTTGGGCCATGTAACTACAGATCTCCACATTTCCGTCATTAGCCTCAATAATATTCTGCATCTGTCTTTTCAAAACCTGCTTCGGATCTTCCGCCATGGCTACAGAAGGTCAATGACGCCTACCTACCCGAGCAAGGAAATGCACACAAACCGCAAATGGATCATGAAAGATCATATAGCCATATACCATGGATTGCAACGAAGATCTCTCATGCAACTTGAGAAGCTGCAGGCATCAGGCATAACAACTAATATAACATGCAAATGCCAGCACCAAATGGTCCAAGCATGCACGAAACTGCCAAACACAGCTCATGGGCTCAAGCAATCAAGGCCAATGGCAACATGTTTGTTCTGCTGCATGCTGAGATCGGGGCAACCCATTCAAGAAGGGGCTCAGTCAATCATTGATGCTTGCTTCAAGTTATTATTGCTCATCGCCTGCCCGTGCAATAGATAGACCAGGTATCGATTGATGATAGTATGATTCGATGCTCGGTGCTGCTGCCTAGCATGTAAAGACAAGAGCATGCAATCCATGTTCGAGCCATGCAAGAATGCTGACAAGAATTTATGATTACAATCTGCTTGCTCAATCCGTCACCAACAGATGATGGCATGATGATGCAAAATAGGTTATCTTCAAGATCTCATATTCCGGATTGAAATTTCTTAAGAACAACTTTTCCTTTCTCAAGAATATCAAGAATTGGTTTCTGATTTGTAAGAACAAATCCTATATTACAAGAATTCGAAGAAGTGATTTCTTATTCTCAAGAACATCGTCGTTTATCTTAAGAACAACGAAGAATTAGTTATTGAAGTAGGAACCAGAAACAAATGGTAGCAACCACAAAGATCCAGGGAACCACAAAAAGGAACTACATAAGAACTCCTAGGTATATATATATATATATATATATATATATCGCACCCTCACAAGATTCTGGTGCAATTCCTCCTGGCAGACACTCTGTCTCAAGATGCATGCTCACGGCATAAGACTTAGCCTTGCTGCTTCTTGGTGACGTTGCACCTGTTCCGTGCTGCTGCCTTGTTAGCTAGTTTTCCCCCCCACGAAGTTGGGATGTTCATGGCATGTTGAAGCTAAACTCAGGTCTGGTCATCGGCTAGTCTACGTGGAATTGTAGCCATATGTTTTTCTGCCTCTCTCTCACTCACCTTGTCTGTTCTAGACTGCCCAGACAGAAATATATATGTACATATATGTATATGCAAATGCTACCATTAAGTCTACATTGGCTTCGGCATGTCGTTCTGTGCAGAACATCGGTGGATGGCCTGCCACCACAGTGCCTGGCTTCATTTACCTGCTTGCCCTCCCTCTCCTTCTCCCTCTGCTGCAATATCGGGATGCATTTGCCCCTGCTCTACAGAGTCCTAGGGTCCTAGAGGTCACTGCCAGCAGAGCAGCTGTGCCACCCAGTGCTTTGTGGAGCCAGCATCTCAGAAGTCACATGGACACGTGCCCCAGCAGAGTCGAGCAGACTGCACTGCCATGAGATATTTCCAGCTGCTTCCATCGTTCTTGCACAAAGCTTCCTCTGTCCCGCCATGCCTAACCCCACTGCTGCCCAATCTCCTGGTCTCCTCCTTGTGGACCCCAACCACCAACAGCTTCAACCCAAGCTAAACTTTGTTATTATGAACAGCCTGAACAATCCTGCCAAAAAACTTGTTTGTGTTGAAAGGTCCCAAGTCCTCAATTTCAACTCCTTCTGCTTTGCATGTTTTGCCAGGAGACCAGTATATTAGAAAACTGCATAAGTAATCTTTGTTACGTGCCAGCCCTGCAGGGTGCGAATCCCAATCCGAATAAAGATTGCTGCGTCCTGGGGGACACTGGGTTCGAGGTAGCAGAGAGCAGTGAAGTAGGAAAGCTTCCCACAGACTTTCCAGACCACCCCGTGGCTCGCCAGTGTCCATGAGGTTCTGCTGAAGAGATGCGGCATGCAGCCTACGGACCTCATGTGCAAGCACCACCTGCAGTTGATATAGATTTGGAGGGACGTAAGCATGAAGCTTTTGCAAATAGCTTGCGAAACAAGGTCCGACTTGCGTCTGTGCTTCCGGAGACCTTCTGCAGGGGGTCCTGTGCTCATGTTTGCTTGCCTGTAGACCTTGACGTGTGCATGTTTGTGCATGTGTCTGCATCTGCTACTGGCTGAAAAGCAGTCTCATCATGGCAAGTGCTTCATTCCACCAGATGTTGCATTGTCTCGGCATCCATAAGCTACCGAAGCTCACATGACGATTGGCTGAGACCCCTGGCAGTTGCTGAGGCTTCATGTGATGTGTTCCTGGGCAGATTTCCTGCCTGGCGGCATTGCTGTGGCGAGGCCGGGGATTCGTCATCAGGGTCCCTTCCGTGAAAGCAGCTAGTACTACCTGAAGGCCCTGTGCCACCGACTGCCACAGAAACATAGTCCTTGTCCTTGCACCAATGTTTGTGGGGCGACTTCGAACTTGAAAAACCATTTCCTGCTTACATTATGTCCCGACCCTGAACCTGCCAATAAGCAAATCAAGACAGGAACCCTGACTGCAATGAGGACCCCTACTAAACCTCAGACAACATAAATAACTGGAGAGCCCGACATTCTATGCAAGTTCAACTGTGGGAACAATGTTAAAGGGGTTGTGGTTCAAGCCTTTAGGGCCTTAGCCTTAGGGCTTAGGGCCTAGGGCTTAGGGCTTAGGGCCTAGGGCTTACCTTAGGGCCTAGGGCTTCGGGGTGTTCAGAGTTTCTAGGTTCGAAGGGAAGAGCCCCTGGGCTTTCGGGTTTAGCTTGGGGATTCCGAGTGTTCAACGGCCTTGCCGGTTTCGGGGTTCACGAAGGCTTTCGGCTTGGGGGGTTCAGGGGTTCCTTTTTAGGGCAGACTTTCGGCCTTTAGGGTTGTTCGTTTCAGGTCGCTGGAGTCGTGTTGCTTCCTTTAGGGCATTCTTGCTCCTAGGTCGGTTGGAACATGGACCGATTCATCATGGGGGGTGCAGCTTGTTCGGAGTGTTCTGCAGAGATGCACACACACACAACAGTAAACCCCGACCATGGCCCGTGGTCAAAGGGGCCCTAAACACCCTAAACATGAACAGGCAGCCAGGGGATGCATGCGCCCGCACACACACACACAAAGCCCTGACCTCGTATCATCAGACAGAAACTCCGAAGCCTAGCCCAGAACAGGACACAGAGCAATAATTGAGTCCCGCACTAGTGCCCTGATCAATGTCATGTCCACAGCCGTTGAATGACCTATTCCAGCATTAGGCCAAGAGAAATAATCCCAGAATCCCAATATACATCCTGAATTTTTAAACCCTAAGCAGGATTCGGACGGGTTGTTGGAGTCCGTGTTGAAAGGTCTGTGTAAAATAACCGGGTGGACTTGCATGCCAAGAATCCATGAAATAAACACTACAGCAGCCCTTTCTTGTTGTCTGGCACGAGTGTGTTTCGAATGTCCTCCTTAGTCTTAGGGGGAGGGTTGCCCTGAAAAGCTTGCTTGACTTGGGAACACGTTGCCTTCCGATGGAAAGCGCCATTGTTCAGCGTTCATGGGCAAGATGCTGCTGAGGAGCAGCACCATGATCCTGAGAAGCACAAAGCGACAAAGTTGCTTCTCGACCGCCAAGACTCCAAGACACGGACCGAGTCCGTGAAGATGGCGGCGACAGCACACTGAGGTTCCAATGGTTTCCCAGTTTCGGCTAGTTGGGAAGAACCACTGCCGCGGGCTGGCGGGGACAATCCTCAGGTCGGCGTCATTCGATTCGGTGTCCGTCTCCTTCTGGACTACGCCGCCACAGCTGAATGGACAGCCTCAGCGGAACGGGCAGCAGCAGGCGCCTTCAACTTTGGACCCCCTAGAGACAGCGTAAACCTGAGCCCATGCCTGCTGGATTATTAATGCCTATAAGAGTTTATTTATTAAGTAAGTCAATTGGGAAGACCAATTCGTAGGGGCTGGATTTTATGACTTACGGTGGCACACTCTTAAGATTGCTGGCTCGTCATTAAACTCTGAAACTGATCTTTTGGGGTTTGCTGCCGATTTGCCCTGGCTCACTGGCTGCCGTCGGCAGCCCTGGTCCGCCGACACGTTTGGGGGCTTCCGTTAAGCCTGCCTTGACCCTACAGCAGCCCAGCCCCAGCCCCGTTAGGAATAGGACTTAAGGGGCGAGTCAGCTTATAACAGAACCGCATACAGACGATTGTTTTTTTGTACCTTCTCAGGAGTTGCCACCTTAGGCGCCAGCCAGTGGGCATAATAAGTAGCATGTCATGTGCAGGCCTGGAGGCCGCCTTCCCAGGCCCCTTTCCTTCCCCACCTTCATTCGTTCAAGCAATGAAGAAGGTCCAAGGGCCCCTGTAGGACCCCCCTGGTGTCTGGAATCACCCGAGTCCGTGTGCAGGCTGCTTTGCTCTGCCGTTTCAGCCTGCAGCCAAATTTCGGGACAGTCGTTGGGATCGACTGTTTGTCATGCTGTGACAGTCGTCGCGATCGACTTGTTGTCCTGGTGTTCAGGTATCTAATAGCAGCACAGGAATGATAGCATTTCTGCTTTTTCCGTTCTTTGTTGCTTTGCGGCTCTGAGCCTTGCTGATAGACAGAAGTTGCACTCGGCATTGGCATTGTATTCGGTTTGTGAAATTAGCCTGCAGGATTTTAAGAGATCGCAGACACCAGGGCCTGCCTGATAAGGAAAAAGGGAAACCCCTTGAAAGGAATCCTTAACCCCTTGGAATCCATTCATCCTAATATGGCCTTCAGCCGCTTCCTTATTCGAGGATTCCGGGCAGAAGCGAATTAGTGTAGAGGAGTGTAGAGTGTAGAGGCTTCAGGACAACAGTGGGTCACGGAACAAGCTAATATCGAAGCAGCATC